GAGGAAGATCTTCCGTCCGATGATTCACTCCCCAAGTGAGCGCAACGGGTCGATACTATGCCGATCCGAAGCCAGGAGCCTCTTCCGGGTCTCCCACATGGGTGCAGGTTCCCAAAGCTTTGGGCCGTCCTCGACTGCTTTCGCAGGCCACAGGCAGGGAGCTGGAAGGGAAGCGGGGCTGCCGGGATTAGAACCGGCGCCCATATGGGATCCCGGGCGTGCTAGGCGAGGACTTAGCCACTTGCGCCACCGCGCCGGGCCCGATTCTTACTTTTAAAAAAAGATTTATTTATTGGAAAGGCAGATATACAGAGAAAGGCACACACACAGATTTTCTACCTACTGGTTCACTCTCCAAACGGCTGCAATGGCCACAGCCAAGCTGACCCAAAGCGAGGAGCCTCCTCCAGGTCTCCCTCGTGGGTGCAGGACCCCAAGGCTCTGGGCCGTCCTCCACTGCCTTCCCAGGTCACAGCAGGGAGCTGAATGGGAAGTGGAGCAGCCAGGACACAATCAGCACCCAGAGGGAGCACTGGTCGGCAAAGAATCAGCCTGTTGAACCACTGCTCCAGCCCTGATTTTTTACTTTAACTTCCCCAAATTACCATTTTTTTAAAGCTAGTCAACATGTGACAAAGAAATAGAAGTAACTGCCACTGGACTCTGTCAGCCCAACTGCGTCACGGTAATGTCCAGAAAGGCTACAGGGGCCATGTCTGTCTGTCCTGCTTGGAGGCAGAGTGACAGACAAAGGGCCCTTCTGCTCACTGGTGACTCCTCAAACGGCTAGGGCAGCTAGAGTTGGCTGGGGTCCAAGCCAGGAGCCAGAAACTCCAGCCAGGTTTCCCACGTGGATGGCAGAAGGCCCAAGCACTCTGGCCATCTTCCGCTGTGTGTCCCCAGACATGTTAGCAGGGTGCTGGACTGAAGTGGAACATGTGGGACTCGACCCCGTGCTGTACGGGACAGCAGCATCCCAGGCAACGGCCTGACACTGCTCTGCCGCGGTGCCGGGCTCAGGCTGCTGACTGGAAGAAGGTGCTACAGCAGCACATACAGGGGTAACTACAGCACGCCACAGCAGCAGCTGCTTCAGGCTGGAACCACGGATGCAGCCAGCGCAACAGCCACTCTCCCTGCACTCGCTGGCTACAAGGGAAGGACCACCAACAACCAAATGGACCGCTGGACGTACCATCTGACGCAACATCTAAGAAGGAAACCTCCCCGCCAAGGGAACTCGACTGTCCTCACCATGAGCAGTCTAAATACAAAGAAGCATCCAGGAGACCCCAAGTCAGAGGCATTTTGGAAAAAAACTGGCCTGGACTCTCCAAAAGTATCCATGTCACAGGACACGAGGGAACAACACAGAACTATTCTAGATTAGATTACACACATGTGACAGGTCAAGCTGACGACACAGGCTGAGATGACAGTGCACTGCAGCGAGAACACTGCTGGGTACTGCCTGCGTGCTAGAGCCCACATGGACGTGAGTCGTCCTGTGGCTATCCAGGAGCGAGTCCTTACTTACACACACTGATTTATTCACAGGTGGGCATGGAGAGAAGCCAAGACAGAAACAGAGCGAACGTGACAGCGTTACCCACAGGAGACCAAATGACGAGTACAGAGTTCTGTTAATCTGACACGTGGAAGCACCGCACGAGAAAACACTAACAATTCTCCAGATGAAAGCCCGCGGTTTCCGCCCAGGGGATGTCACCATCAGGCAGGACACAGAACTCTCCGCTAGGAATACGCTCCTGTTGGGAGGGGACACTGCTGTCACTGGAAATCATCAAATGTGGACAAAGTTGGCCTGGGTTTTGAATAATGGGGAAAAAATGAGGAAAAAAATCATCTAAAAAAAAATCAACAGGGGTTAGCATGGTGTCTCAACAGGCTAATTCTCCATCTTGAAGCCCTGGCATCCCATAGAAGCACTGCCCCGCTTCCCATCCAGCTCCCTGCTGTGGCCTGGGAAAGCAGGAGAGGACGGCCCAGGGCCTTAGCCCATACACCTGCATGGCAGACCTGGAGGAAGTCCCAGCTCCTGGCTTCAGATAGGTCCAGCTCTGACTGCTGCATCCCTTGAGAAGTGAACCAGGAAATGGAAGATCTTTCTTATTGTCTCTGCTTTACTCTGTGACTCTGCCTTTCCAATACAAATAAACAAATCTTCAACAACAACAAAGATCAGTGAATTCCTGATGAACCAAGACTACTCGTCAGGACACAGTGATTGTGGCAAAAGAGAGGAAAGACAGAATGCAAGAAGAAAGTTAGGGAAATAAAAAAGCTGCTCTCTGTAAGCACACACTGACATGCCATGCCAGAGGTCCACAGGTGAAGCCGCCTGGCTACTCTGCCTCCATCAAGGGCATGGTCTGCCCAGCTGCACAGCTGAGACCAAGTCCAGGCACAAAGTTGGCTTCAAAGTCCAAGAGTTTTCATGTGTGTATTTTAACTAAGACTTGGAAAAGTGACATACTGGATGCAGGACATACGACCAGGGTTGAACAGCAGCCTTCAAGCTATCTAAGTGCAAGCAGGGGCTGGATGGAGATCCCAGGACACCCAGAAGGGGAGCCAAGGCCAGGCGCTCAGCCCAGCACACACAGGGGTCAGCTCTGCACTGTGGGGCCACGCCGAGACCGTCCTTGGCCCTGCCAGGCGGGGCCTTCACTGCACTGTGGGGCCACGCCGAGGCCGTCCTTGGCCCTGCCAGGCGAGGCCTTCACTGCACTGTGGGGCCACGCCGAGGCTGTCCTTGGCCCTGCCAGGCGAGGCCTTCACTGCACTGTGGGGCCACGCCGAGGCTGTCCTTGGCCCTGCCAGGCGAGGCCTTCACTGCACTGTGGGGCCACGCCGAGGCCGTCCTTGGCCCTGAACTGTGCATAGTGCATGTTTCTAACCTTTAAAGGTGACCCTGGGGCCAGCACAGCGTGCAGTGGCTGAAGCTGTTGCTCATGATGCAGCATCCCATAAAGGGGCCAGTGTGTGTCCCAGCTGCTCCACTTCCAAACCAGCTCCTTGCCAAAGTGCCTGGGAAAGCAGTGGACGGTGGCCCAGGAGCTTGGGTCCCTGCGCCCATTCGGGAGAAGTGGAAGAAGCTCCGAGCTCCAGGCTTCAGACTGTCCAGCTATTTGGGCAGTGAACCAGTGGATAAAAGCTCTCTTTCTGTCTTTCTCTCTTCGCAACTATTTCAAACAAATAAATGTTAAAAAAACAAAAAGTGACCATAACTGCAGGGAAAAGTAACACGGGGTTAACTGTCTTCCTGAAATGAGTGTCACTGTCAGTTTCTGCTCCTGAGCACTCTACGCTTGGGTTCCATGAAGAAGCATTCGAGGGCTTGTCACATGCTCACTCGCCCGAAGTGAGCCGGAACTCTGAGGGAGACCAAGCACAAGCTGCAGACACGCAGAGTCCTCACGCTGCCTGACTCCATCTGCCAAGAGACAGGGGCACAGCCACTGAGTGAGTGCAGGCATTCAGGTCTTAGTTCAGTCTTTATGTTTGTGTTCATTGGATATGCTAGAGTGAAATGGCTAATATATGCAAAGAAATGAAAAGCTATATTAAACCCCTAATAAATATTCATTTGCTGTGAGCACGTGTTTACAACTAAAGCATACAATTTCTGAACTTCAGGAAGCATCTTCATTTCTGAAAGCAGAAGTTATTTCATGACTGTAGGTTTTATTTTACTTGTCCCTATAGAAGTACATCTGGGGCCAGTGCTGGGGCCAGGTTAAGCATCTAACTGCATCTCCAGCATCCTATATGGGTACCAGTTCAAGTCCTGAGTGCTCCATTTCCCATCCACCCCCCTGTTAATGCACCTGGGAAGGCAGAAAATGGCCCAAATACCTGGGCCCCTGCGCGTGGGAGACCCAGAAGAAGATTCTGACTCCTGGCTTCAGACTGGTCTAGCTCTGGCCATCAGGGCCATTTGGGAAATGAAACAGTGGATGGAAGACTTCGCTCTCTTTCTCTCCTTTCTCTCTGTAACTCAGGCTTTCAAATATATAAATTAAAAAAAAAAAAAACTCTACGCTTACTAGAAAAATGACGATAAGGAAACTTCTATGTGCAAACACATCTAATTATTAGATCCTAAGTCACTTTCCTCGAGACTCTACATGGCCGGAATCTCCCAACGAAGGAGTAACGTGTGAGGGGAGGCGCGATGCCGCTGTCTGCAGCTGGCAACTACAAGACCAACCCTGAGGAATGCTGAAGTGCCTGGCGAGCCCTCAGTGCCCACTGGCCATCAAACTTGCAGGCCATTTTTGTGGTTTGCAAATCAATCCTTGTTGTTCCCTTCAATGTTGGTGACAATGGCTTAAAACCACAAGCACTGTCCACAAAATACCCCTTCTTGCCACCAATGGTCCAGAAACACGCCAAGATTCCACATGGAATTCTGAGAGGGACAACCAGAGAGCCAGTCCATTCACTGTTGGTGACTCCCCTCCGGCATGTCACACTGTACTTGGTCCTGGATAGTCAGACCAAAGTTGACATTCTCCCCAAGAACTGCGTTTGGCAGGTCGTTCACTCAAACAAGAAGCACAATGACGGACCTGGACTTACAGCAAAGTTACATGCCTTCCCAAACCTCCTATCCTGTCATTGTAATTAACAAGCTGTGTAACTTCATTCTTGAAGATAAAACGTAGTCTTAAACTTCAGAATAAGGACAGCTGACTCAGTGTTTAAGTGTCACAGCCTCTCACTTGTGTAAGAGCCAGAACCAAGCCTCTGGGGCACTGCTCCAGGGCGGCCAGCGGTCAGTTCCCTGACAAGCCCAACTGCAAGGGACACAGAGAGTGCCTGGCCGAGGCAGAAGGAACTGAGCTGACTGTACCGAACGGCACACCTCACTCACACCTGTGTCTGGCCAGGTCAGTCAGTACCGCCCACATGGGGCACGTTCTGGAGAACGTTCTGCCCTCTGGCAGAGAGCGCCATCACGGACTGTCGGGTACCTGTTCCTGTAGGTCGTAGTCGCAGCCGTCGTGCAGCAGCAGGCTGAGGACGTAGCGTGTGTAGATCATGGCATCGATGCCACATTTCTCGAGCTCTTGTCCCAGCCAGGTCTGCACGGGGCCCAAGGCATGAAGCAGAGACATCTCAGCAGCACACACAGGGCCCCGGGAAGGACGTGAGGAGCTTTCAGATGGCAGAGCATCCACAAGTGGACAGTCAGGGCGCATGAGTCTAGGTAGCCGACATTCTTAGGGCGCACGGCACGCTCTGCGGCGGCTGCGTGCGGCTGCGTGGGGCTCGTCACTCCGGGGAGGCGGGGAGACGCTGCACCTCGAGGGGCAGCATGGATTTCGGCCGGGCTGGCACTCAGCTGTCGGGAGCACGGCCTCCCTCTTCAGACATGACCCAGGGCTCCCGCAGCGACATACACGCGGACGGAATCTTCTACTCTGATTTCACATTGAGGCCAAATGGAAGTTTCTGGCAGAACCTACAAAAGAGAAACAAACTGTTATATACAAGTATACATTAAATTACAGATCTTTTGACAAAAAGAAAAAAAATCAAATAAGCTGTTCTTTATTGAAAATCTTTGAGAACTTAGAAAATTGCTTCCTGGGCCCGGCGCGGTGGCGCAAGTGGTTAAAGGTCCTCGCCTTTCACGCCCGGGATCCCATATGGGCGCCGGTTCTAATCCCGGCAGCCCCGCTTCCCTTCCAGCTCCCTGCCTGTGGCCTGGGAAAGCAGTCGAGGACGGCCCAAAGCTTTGGGACCCTGCACCCGCGTGGGAGACCCGCAAGAGGCTCCTGGCTTCGGATCGGCATAGTATCGGCCCGTTGCGCTCACTTGGGGAGTGAATCATCGGACGGAAGATCTTCCTCTCTGTCTCTCCTCTCTGTATATCCGCCTTTCCAATGAAAAAATAATAAAAATAAATCTTTAAAAAAAAATAAAAAAGAAAATTGCTTCCTTTTCCCATAATCTTTTGATATTTTAAACTAATTTTAGTAAAAAAAAAAAAAAAAGAAGAAGAATTCAAAGCTGACGTGCTCCTTGGGTTGGATGCTGCAGGGCTGTGTCGGGAGGCGGACAGGTCACGAGCGTACCTGCCAGGCTGAAACACACCGTGAGCTCATCTCCAAGTGTAACACAACTGGAGTAGCTGAGTGAGTGGTAACCACATCAAAACAGAGGTTAACAAGGAGCTCCTTAAGTTAGATACTGGTAAATCCCTTATTTTGTATCACTACAAATGTAATACGCCAGCGACAATCTCATAAAAATTAAGGTAAAGAACAAATTTGTCTTAGACTCATGTTACCTTACTATTCCAACTGTGTTATTTCCAACCTAGGCTGAATTTCTGATTATCTGTGATAGAGAACTTTATTACTGTTACTCTAAATTAACGCACGTCGGATATGGCAAATGGATCCAACAATGGAATTATTAAATCACAATAGTCTATGGCAGAATTCTGATTAGTTTATATCACTGAGAAAAGAAAAAGCTGAAGGCAAGGAAAACGAGATGAAAGAAAAAACAGACAGCAGAGGGCCACCAGACAGACAGACAGCAGAGGGCCACCAGACAGACAGACAGCAGAGGGCCACCCCAAAGAAACTTAAACTAAACACTATTAGTACGCACATCAAGGCAGAAAGCAAAACTCTTTCCATGGGTTTAAGACCAAGATTCCTACCTTTGATATATAACATGTAACAAATTTTACATACATCAAACATAAAGAACATTTTAAGTCTGCTGTAGGAAAGTACTTGTCCAATGTGTCACTAATGTACATCTGGCTTTTTTTCTTCTTTGAAAAAAAAAAAACTTCATTATTATAGTATCTTCTGAGTTGTAGAAATCAGATAAAGGGGTTGTTGTGGGGCCCTTGGGTGAAGCCTCTGCCCATGAAGCTGAGATTCTGTATGAGGCTTCCCCTCCTGCTGGGTGACCCACCCAGGGGTCCTGTATGAGGCTTCCCCTCCTGCCTGACCCACCCAGGGGTCCTGTATGAAGCTTCCCCTCCTGCTGGGTGACCCACCCAGGGGTCCTGTATGAGGCTTCCCCTCCTGCCCGGCTGCCTGACCCACCCAGGGGTCCTGTATGAGGCATCCCCTCCTGCCTGACCCACCCAGGGGTCCTGTATGAGGCTTCCCTTCCTGCCTGACCCACCCAGGGGTCCTGTATGAGGCATCCCCTCCTGTCTGACCCACCCAGAGGTCCTGTATGAGCACTTTCCCTCCTGCCTGACCCACCCAGGGGTCCTGTATGAGGCATCCCCTCTTGCCTGACGCACCCAGGGGTCCTGTATGAAGCTTCCCCTCCTGCTGGGTGACCCACCCAGGGGTCCTGTATGAGGCTTCCCCTCCTGCTGGGTGACCCACCCAGGGGTCCTGTATGAGGCTTCCCCTCCTGCCTGACCCACCTAGGGGTCCTGTATGAGGCTTCCCCTTCTGCCCGGCTGACGCACCCAGCTTCTGCTTGTGTGTGCCCGGGCAGCACACAGACCAACACAGGACACACCGATGACTGAGGCAGCTGGCTGCAGTCACAGCGCACAGACCAGCACAGGACACACCGATGACTGAGGCAGCTGGCTGCAGTCACAGCACACAGACCAGCACAGGACACACCGATGACTGAGGCAGCTGGCTGCAGTCACAGCACACAGACCAGCACAGGACACACCGATGACTGAGGCAGCTGGCTGCAGTCACAGCACACAGACCAGCACAGGACACACCGATGACTGAGGCAGCTGGCTGCAGTCACAGCACACAGACCAGCACAGGACACACCGATGACTGAGGCAGCTGGCTGCAGTCACAGCACACAGACCAGCACAGGACACACCGATGACTGAGGCAGCTGGCTGCAGTCACAGCACACAGACCAGCACAGGACACACCGATGACTGAGGCAGCTGGCTGCAGTCACAGCACACAGACCAGCACAGGACACACCGATGACTGAGGCAGCTGGCTGCAGTCACAGCACACAGACCAGCACAGGACACACCGATGACTGAGGCAGCTGGCTGCAGTCACAGCACACAGACCAGCACAGGACACACCGATGACTGAGGCAGCTGGCTGCAGTCACAGCACACAGACCAACACAGGACACACCGATGACTGAGGCAGCTGGCTGCAGTCACAGCACACAGACCAGCACAGGACACACCGATGACTGAGGCAGCTGGCTGCAGTCACAGCACACAGACCAGCACAGGACACACCGATGACTGAGGCAGCTGGCTGCAGTCACAGCACTGGCTGCCTAGTCACTTGCAGAGGAACCAGAAGATAAGATCTCTCTCCTTCTCTCACCCTGTCATTCCTTTTCTTCTTCTTCTTTTTTAAAGATATTTTTTTTTTTAAATCTATTTATTTTTACTGCAAAGTCAGATGTACAGAGAGGAGGAGAGACAGAGAGGAAGATCCTCTGTCTAATGATTCACTCCCCAAATGACTGCGACAATCGGAACTGCGTCGATCTGAAGCCAGGAGTCAGGAGCTCTTCAGGGTCTCCCACGTGGGTGCAGAGTCCCAAAGCTGTGGGCCGTCCTCGACTGATTTCCCAGGCCATAAGCAGGGAGCTGGATGGGAAGTGGGGCTGCCGGGATTAGAACTGGAGCCCATATGGGATCCTACTGCGTTTATTTTTATTGGAATGGCAGATTTACAGAGAGAAGGAGAGGCAGAGAGAAAGATCTTCCACCAGCTGGTTCACTCCTCAAGTGGCTGCAATGGCTGGAGCCGAGCTGATCCAAAGCCAGGGAGTCTCTTCGGGTCTCTCACACAGGTACAGCATACGAAGGCTTTGTGCTGTCCTCCACTGCTTTCCTAGGCCACAAGCAGGGAGCTGGATGGAAAGTGGAGCAGCCGGGACATGAACTGGTGCCCGTATGAGATCCTGACATGTGCAAAGTGAGGATTTAGCCACAGAGCCACCATGCCAGGCCTTTCAAATAAATAATAATCCTTTTTTTTAAAATCAGAAAAATTACACCAAAGATTTTTCCTTTTACTGGCTACATTTTCCAGCTCTCAAAGTGGAAATTTTTCCCTAAATCATTCCAATTGGCTCTCAGGATACCAGAAAGGTCATCGATGCGTCCGGTCCTGCGGCTGTCACCTGGAGTTGACGAGTTGGTAGCATCAGCAGAGAGCAGCCGAGACCATGCAGGTTTGAAGCAACGACCAAGGGAACAGAGGCCATCCAAGCATCGTGTGAGTGTGAGTGTGTGTGTGTTTGCGTGTGTATGAATACATATATATATACTTTAACCATTTACTCTTATTTACATGAAAGGTGAAGTGCTTCAAGTCCCAACTCTACTTGAACCCAGGTCCTTGCTGATGGCCTGGGAAGAGCAGGGAAAGATGGCCCTGTTCCCTATGTGGGAGACCTAGAAGCCCCTGGCTCCTGGCTTTGTCCTGGCTCAGTCCTAAGCTATCGCAGCCTCTGCAAAAGTAATGGTAGAAATGCTTAAAAAGAGAGAAGGACCTAGAAAGGGCAGCCACATTTGTCTTACTATTTAATCATCTTTAAAAGATACCAGCTAGGGCCCAGCAGGATGGCTCAGTGGGCCAAATCCTAGTCTTGCATCACTGGAATCCCATATGGACACCAGTTCACATCCTGGCTGCTCCACTTCCCACCCAGCTCCCTGCCTGTGACCTGCGAAGGCAGTGAGGACGGCCCAGAGCCTTGGGACCCTGCACCCACGTGGGAGACCCGGGAGAGGCTCCTGGCTTCAGCCTGGCTCAGCCCTGGCCATTGACGCCACCTGGGAGTGAACCAGTGAGTGGAAGATTTTTCTCTCTCTCTCCTCTCTGTAAATCTTCCTAATAAAATTTAAAAAAAAAAATTTTTTTTAAGTATCTGACTGAACAAAAACAACAGATTATAGGATTTGTCACATATATATAAGTAAAATGTGTGATAACAGCAACATAAAAACCAGGAGTAAATAAGGATGCTACTACTAGATGTGCTCACAAAGTCTGTGGGAAATGGAACTGAAAGACGAGCGCTGTGCCCATTCACTCGTTCCCAAGGTAGAGTCAGAGACAGAAAGAAGACACAGACCTTCCACCCACTGGCTCGCTCTCCGGATGACGGCAGCAGCCAGGGCCGCAAAGCCAGGAGCCTCCCTGGGTCTCCCGTGAGGGACCTAGCACGCCGGGCACCCTCTGCTGCTCTCCCAGGTGCTTAGCAGGGAGCTGGATCAGAAGTGGAGCAGCTGGGATTCAAATGGGCTCAAACAGGGTACCAGTGCCACAGGTAACTTAACCTTTACTGTTCCAGTGTGAGCACCCCAAAGTATTTTAAATTGATGCATATGAGATGTCTTTAGAAAGGTATTATTTTTAAAAATCGATGTGTAGGGCCCAGTGTGGTAGCCTAGTGGCTAAAGTCCTCGTTTTGTACACACGGGGCTGCCGTATGGGCGCTGGTTCTAATCTCCCGCTTCCC